CCGTGGCGCCGCGGTGAGTGCCAGCGTTGCCGCCGCGCCCCGGGGTGCCCCAGCTGCCCCAGCAGCAGATGTACCAGGCCGCCTTCCAGCAGATCATGCCGAGCGAAGCGCCCTCGCCCCATCCCACGCCGGGCGCGCAGGCGGTGCCCCAGCCTCCGCCGCTTCAGCCGGGCATGGTCCATCCTTCCGAGCAGCCTCTGCCCGCCAGGTAATGCGCCGGCTGGGGGACGTGCCAGTGCCGGACCGGAGGGGGGTTGTGGAAGGCAGGCGTTCCCGGGGCTCGCTCCGTTGTTAAGCACGCAGGGTGGGTTTTGCCCTGCTCCTAAGGTGTTTTGGTAACTTCTCCACCTCGGGCTCGGAGGTGGTCGCTGGAGCTGTGAAGTCAGGTGGAGCAGGTGAGGTCTTAATCCAGGGACAGGTGAATGTGGAGGGTATAGGGAATAATCTAACAGGCTTTGAGCAGGCAAGAGCACTTGTTGAGTTCCCTCTTCCTTCTCCCATCTCGAACACGAAGGGAGCACGAGCTGTCGTTTTCCTGCCACGGCGAAGCTGCCGTGATGCCGCTGCCTTTGCTCCTGCGCGCCACGCGTGGCTCTTGGATGCTGATGGCAAACTAGGGGTGAGCTGGCAGGGGAGATCAAGCCCTTTGGATGTAGGACTGCTTTAAGATCAGTAAAGGGAAATGGCCATTCGATAACAACTCCAGAAAACTGCATGGAAGAGGTCAATCGGACAAGAATGAGTTCTGGCTGCAGGCCCTTTGCCCCTTAAAAGAAATGAAGCGTAGGATGGAGCTTCTAATATTAGCGCTGTTTACATGAGAACTGGTTCAGGACTTGTTGACAGAGTCTGTAAATACTTCTATTGCCACATCTGTGATATGACAACATGAAATGCAGTCTGACCCAAGCAGGAGAGAGCACTAAATCTGTTCATGATAGCGTTCTTGCAAAATCTGTGTCCTACTACATCACTTTGCTGTAACATATTGATTAAAATTCATAACATCCCATTTCAACCTGCCATGTCATGGCATCTTCAAAGTAGTACATCATTTTTATATTTCTCTCTTCAGCCGTATGTTTGGTACAGAAATATTGTTTGTGAAAATGTAGGCAACATGGAGGCCAAGACAGTTATTAACTGCTGAGCTCGTTAGCAAGTGTTTCTGATGGTTTTAGAGGGAATTGGATCAGGCCTGTTACGCCCAGCAAGTGTGGCAAACGCCACACCTGGAGAATCGCCGTTCCCAAACAGCCCTGACACAGTCCTTGTCTATCAAATATGTATGGAAGAATTGCATAGTATTTTTTTTAGGATGAAAAATAGCTATAAGAAACAAAATGGACAAGTGCAGCGAGGTATTAAAAAAATACATTGGTTTAAAGTACTTTTAATGGAGAGGCATTTCTGTAAAGAAAGGCTTTGCAATGCACAGCTGTTTTGGCAGTTGATGTTTACCACCCCTGAGTTTGGTTTTGCCGGGGTAAATTAGACATTGAAACATTTTGTGAATTATTCTAGTTTGAGAATCTTATTCTAAGATTTAAAAAAAAAAATTTCACTGCTCTTCTGCAGTGTACACCACAGCTGCTGTTCTGACAACCTCCCCTTAGCCAGTCGTGTAACTGTTCTGTGTTGCGAAGCACACTGTGTCTTTATTTTTATCCACATTAAAACCTGGAATAATAATTTCGGCTCATATCTAGAATCTGCAGAGAACATGCAGTAATTGTGTGGCCTAGTTCTCACCTGAGTCTTGATTTATTTTTTTTCTTATATTCTCCAAATGGCCCAAGTCTCTAGGTGATGATCCTTTAAAAAGGTAAAAACTAGGCAGAGTGTTACCTAGTACTAAGATGCCTTTTTTCTTCCATGTTTTCCTTGCTCCTTTCCTGCTGGTGTATATTTGGGAAAAAGAGTTAGTTGTGTGGTCTATACCAGCTACTGATTTGATGTATAAAATAGATGTTTTAAAAAAATCCTGATGTAGTTTATGAGTAGAGTATATTTTTTGTCTGCTCATTGTGGCATGCTCATTGAAAGGAGAACAAACTATTCAGAGCAGTGAATTCATAATCTTAAAATTTTAATTTCTTAGCGAAACGTGGCTTCGTTCCTACGAAGTAAATAGCACCTGAGCAATATGCCTTTGTCATAATTATCTAGGAAGGGTTCTTAGATTTTTATTTGGTCGTTTCAAAGCAAGTGTAAACTCTTGAGTAGTTCCCTTTCCAAGCAGAGACCGCACAAGCGCAGTCTCGCTGCGGAATTACAACCCTTTTTCCATCCAACGGCTTTAGGACCTTGTCGTGGAAGCCCCGAGCGCTCCGAGCAGAGATGTGTGTTAATAGCTGTCTGTTGCGTTACAGCAGATGCCTGGACACGCTCAGTATGCTTTGGAAGCTGGAGCCCAGGTGCCCGTGCTGCCCGTGCAACCTTCGATAGTCATGTCACCGCCTTTGCAGTTGCAGCCCGAAGTGTTGCCTCCCCGCGTCGCTCCGGAAGGCGTTGCCCAGGTGCACGGCAGCCTTGCCACGGCTAGTCCGCCCGTCCCCATAGATCACTGCCTGCCTCTCCAGCCCTCTGCTCTGCTGCAGCCTCAGCCCGACCTGCCCCAGCCACTGGGTCAGCAGCTCCCAGCTCCCTGCTCCGCTCTCCAGGCAGTCGCAGAGACATCTCAAGAGGTAGAGCTGTTTCCTCTGAAGTAACTCACCCACCTCTCCCTTCACCTTCTGACTCACTCCGTTGCGAAGTCATCTCCCTTGGGAAATAAGCCCGTTGTCCCCTGCCGCCGTGCGGAGCCGCTTGCCCTCGATGCTGGCAGCTCCGGGTCAGCAAATAATTGGCTGTTTCAGACGAAGCTGGAAACTGCGTGTTGTACCTTGTGAAATGTCTCCTCGAAGTAACGGGGCAGCAGGACTGCGTACCTCTGTCTATAGCTGAGCACAAGCACAGGGATAGAAATAGAAATTACTTTTTTTTAAGTGCTGTGGGTCAGTAAGAAGCTGTTCTGTAGAGTTTCATCCGTGTTTTGTCCAGTCTTGTTTTAAACGTCTTAAGCGCTTGTGCAACCAACCATCATTTGCCTTGAGAAGCTGTTTCACAATCTGATTCTTCCCTACGTAAAACCTCTTCGTGCTCCTCAGCTTGAGCCTTATTCCCATTTCATTTAGCGTTGTGTCGTCCTCTATTGCCTGAATTCTAGTGCAGCTCTGGGGTTTTGGTTTCTCCAGATGTTTGTAGGCACTCCCAATTCTCAGTGGTCATATAAGCAAGATGCATTTTATTACTTGTCTTTATAAGACCATCAGCTCCTCCTGTCTGCTATTTTGACTTTTCCTTCCACTCCCATAATTGTTTAACCTTTAGCCTTGACAGAATGTCACAGAACATTTCCTTCTCTTCAACTCTGTATCCATAAGCAAAGCAAAACATGTAGAACCATGGTAGAACCATTCACAAATGGTAGAACCAGTCTGTAGTGCTGGACTGGCAGAATCCCCCAGTAAAGCCTGGCTGTGTCAGGCGTATCCCTTACACAAGGTGTTTCTCCCAAACTGCCTTTTTTCTGTCTGCACAGAATGTCAGAATCAAGGCTGATGGCAAAGCTGCAGCCTCCAGTGCAGGGTCCATCCCTTCAGAGATTCTGGAACCACGAATAACCTTCATTGTTGTGGTGCAGTGTGCTATGGGAGGTGCGAGTTGTCTTATCTCACCTGAGAAGTCCCTGCCCACTGAGGCACACGTCTGTCCTGTCACCTCTTCATATCCCTTGGAACGTTTAACCACTGTTTTGCTAACTTCATTCTCATACTTCATCTGTAACTCCCTTCTCTCCTTCAATTTAAAAAATCAATCCAATAGCGTAGGATGGTCAGATTGATCAACGTGCTGATTTTATGACCTACGTTGCTACGTTTTTCTTGGGTGTAAAGAGGAGTTTCACGTCTCTATATATTCAAATCCCCGCGTTCTGCTACTCTGCCAACACTTCTATCTCCATCTTTTGTTTGAACGTGTGGCAGCACTCGCGGCCAAACCGATTGGAACTGATGAGGCAGATGAGATTTTGTAAGGCGCTCCATCACGTGCCTTGCTAAAATTCAGATACATTATGTCTGTGTTCTCACTGTTCATTAATTTTGCAGTTTTATGGAAACTGCAGTCCCGCTTGGCATGGCATATGTGTGGCACTATAAGCAATGACTGGGGGTGACTGGTTAACGGCTGAGCTTCTCACTCCAGTCTGCCGACGGTTTTGGTGTTAAGATGTAGTGATGACAGTCAAGGGCCTTGTTTCTGTGTGTCTGTAGAAGGATTTTATAGACGTATGTTTGTAAGTACATACGTATAAATATATATAAAATTATATATATTTATGAATATATTTGGGATGTGTGTATATACATACAGTTATATACATGCACGGGGGGGGTACGTGTGTCTGTACATCTACGGGAAGTTTGTTAGAGTAGGGCCAGTAGCATGGTCACCACAAATTCTGTGAAAACAGGTCTACCCGATGCGAAGGTCACGCTATCAATGTCTGTCCGAGCGTTGCAGCCAGGGAAGGGGGATGTTTTTTTGGAAAATTTCTATTGTGTAGAGAGCAAAAGGACAGGATATGAGGGCAGTGTTTTAATTAAATGATGAGTTTTCATCTTCTGTTTGTGAGTTCTGCAGAAATTTTCGCAATAAGCCAAATGCAATGAAAATATGTTATTTCAGGAAACTATACAAAGCAATGAAGCAAATTAGCTTATACTGTATATCATTTAAAAAAAAAAAATAGATAGGTGCTGATGTGGATTTGTCCCGCAATCAAGTTTTTCCCCTGTGGTGAGAACTGTTTTGTTTTTCACCCCCTCTTCTGCCTTAGAGACAGCGGAAGGGGACTAGCAGATGAGTGGCTCTGTCTTTAAATTGGTTGTGCACAGATATTGGTGCTTTGGGCAGAAGTAATGTTGGGAGGCTGCAGGGGGACGTTTAGTTTTTCCGAGTTCCAAGAATTGGTTACACAGAATGGTTTAGAATTACTGGTGTCGCAACAACAAAGGTGTTTTTCTTAAAGGTATTTGTCTTTTGCCAATGTAATGCACTTACTTAAATGACTTTTTCTTACGTTTTAGGAGCAGGCAATACAGGACAAGCTTCAAACTCTGTCACAGAGCTGTGAAAGGTATCATTACAATCTCTTTGGCATAAGAAATGTTTTATTTCTGGGGGCTTTTTCTCCTCTCTCTCTTTGCAAGACTAAGCCAAATGCCTGACCTGTGCCTTGGCTGAGAGCAGAGCAGCGGGAGCTGAGCAGGAGAAGACGGAAGGGTGCAAGTCTAGGGAGAAAGCTGCAGGTGTTCGTTGTGCAGCGTGCCTATCTTGGCTCCTCCACCTCGTCTCATTCTTTAGTTTGGGTGCTGTATCCTCGCCTTGTGCAGCAGCTTTCATTTCAGCATGTAACTTCTTTTTTTTTGCTGAGATAACTGAAGTGGTACAGTCGTGGTTTGGATGCTGTCGAGTCTGTATAAAGACATGCCACATAATTTACCCCCTCTTTGGACTGGGCATGCCTGTATCCCTTCTGTAAGGATCTTTCCCCAGGTATGTTACAGGGAGCGGGGTGCTAGGGAGAGTTGTGTGTTGAGCCACTCAAAGGCATCATTACAACAAGCGTTGGGACACGCGGCCAAAGCCCGTTCCTCGGTTTTGCGCGAGGCCACGCTCACCCTGGTGATGCTGATTACAGAACTAACGACAAAAAACCCCCAGAGCCAGCTCAGCACTCCTCAAACAAAAGCAAATTTCCATTTTTGCCAGCCCTTATCTGCCTGTTTCTGTACTCGGAAGCAGCAAGGTTTGGAGGAAGCAGTGAGGAAGAGCCCTGGAGAGGAAGGCTCACTGCTGGACTGGACAGGGGCTGGCTGGGGGCAGTGGTGGCTGCTTCGGGGGGGCAGGACTCCCCTCCCCAGGCTTCTGCTGCTCCCGCACTACAGCTCCTGTGTTGGCACCTGCAGTAAGCCAGATTTTTCAGTGTTTGGATACAAATAAGGTAGATATGAACAGTGTGTGTTCACAAGCGGCTGAACGCCTTGGCTGTTGCAGGAGCCAGGACCAGCTTCATCCCCATCGATTATAAAGCTTTGGGGCTAGGATTGTAGTGACCCTTTTCTGTTTTCCTGAACAGACAAGATGAGTTAAGTTTATGAGCTTTGAACAGCTCTCTTACTGTTTTCATCCCACCCCACCAAAAAAGTCAGTCTGATGCAAGTCGATGCAACCCCACAACCTTCAGATTGGACCATTTTTCTCAAGAATTTGCTTCTTATAAATACTGGATGGAAAGTGAAATCTAATTTTTCATAGAATCATAGGATCATAGAATGGTTTGGGTTGGAAGGGACCTCAAAGATCATCTAGTTCCAACCCCCCTGCCATGGGCAGGGACACCCTCCACTACACCAGGTTGCCCAAAGCCTCATCCAACCTGGCCTGGAACACTTCCAGGGATGGGGCAGCCACAGCTTCTCTGGGCAACGTGTTCTAGTGCCTCACCGCCCTCAGAGGGAAGAATTTCTTCATAGATCAAATCTAAATCTGCCCTCTTTCAGTTTAAATCCATTACCCCTTGTCCTGTCACTATGTGCCTGTGTAAAAAGTCCTTTTCCAGCTTTCTCGTAGCCCCTTTAGGTTCTGGAGGGCTGCTAGAAGGTCTCCCCGGAGCCTTCTCTTCTCCAGGCTGAACGACCTCCTGACTATAGGTCAGTTCTGGCTATAAGTGTTCGATCTATCTAGTCTGTTGTAGAAAGGCATATCAAGTTTTCAGTCACCTGTTGAATTCTGATTTGCCTCTTCCAGAACTGTGTTTGAGAAGCAGCATGGAGAGCGTCCGTCAGCACACAGCTCGTAGTCATGGAGGGAGGTTTCTCTCTTTTCCAGGCGCATGGGTAACTCAGCGCTGGAGCTGGGATGTGCTTTTGTAGAGCACAGGGTAATGGCACATGGATCAAACAGCTGGCAATTGCAGCAAAGATGTGATCTAGAGTATATCCTACGCACAAAATGTGTTCGCTTTCCTGGTGTTGGAGGTACACCTAAAAGGTCGCTGCAAAGGGAGCAGAAATAAGCTGGTATCCTACGCACAAAATGTGTTCACTTTCCTAGTGTTGGAGGTACACCTACAAGGTCGCTGCAAAGGGAGCAGAAATAAGCTGGACTGTGCAACTAGTGCAGAACAAGAAGTAAAGGCCTTAAATTTAAGCAAGGGATCCATAGGTTAGACTTAAATTCTTTTCTGCCTGTATGGCTAAATGAAGACAGGACTAAATTGCCCGGGAATTGTGAAATCTCACGGGAGCTTTATAAGATCAGTTTACACAAACCTCTGGTTAGACAGAGCTGATCATACCTTGGGGTAATAAACAGGCCAGATGGCCTCACAAGGTTCCTTCCTGACGTGGTTTTTATGAGCCTCTGAAAATTTCCTGCAAATTACTTACATGTTGATGTTTTCTGTACATGTCATATTATAATAGGGTTGTTAGCAGCTACTGTTTTGGCTGCTAAAAATAATATACTGTTGCTGGCTGGTCATCTGGGATATTGCGGCATAAAAACCTTCTTTCTGATCCTTGAGGACTGCGGAGGGAGGAGAGGCAGTCTCTTAGGGAATGCTGTACCAACTTCTCGCTCTTTTCCTTCGTCTCTGACAAACATAAATTGGCCTTGTTTAGACCTTCTGCTGGGAGTGGCAGAAGGTGGGAGTTGAGAAAACTGGACCTTAGAAAAAACAGGAACTTGTGCAGTTCAGAGAGCGACTGTGAGGATCCCTGCAGCGAAGGGATCGGGGGCACCTAGTGATGTATTAAGAGTGGTGGGACTTTCCCTGTGGTATTGGCAGAAATGCTAATAGATCATTTCTTATTAGGTGGGACAGCAAGAGTACATGCCTTTCTTGGAGTAGTTTCCCTTCAGGTACTGAGCATCTTCCAGTAGCGGGCTCAGGTTGGGCCAAAAGGGTGCAGATGTGCACCTTTTTGTGCAGTCTCTGTCGCTGCGTGTCTTCCCTAGGCATAGCCCCACCATGTGTGGCAGTGGGTTTATTTGGGGTTTTTTCTTCCTTTCTTTTACAAAGCTACATGAGTCCAGACGTCGCGTCGGGTAAAGAGATGAGTGACAGCTTTGAAGGAGCAATAGGAAGTGGAAAACAAGAAGGAAAGTCTTCAAAGAAACATAAGAAATCTACGCGCGCCCGTTCGCGCCAGGAGAAGTCCAGCAGACCCAAACTGACCATATTAAATGCAAGTACAACCTCTTTGACTGAGAGTAACTTTGTGATTCCTTCGGCTGTGCCAGAGATCACTCGTTCCTCTTTGCCTGCAGGTTTGTAACACGGGCGACAAGATGGTGGAGTGCCAGCTGGAAACACACAATCACAAAATGGTGACTTTTAAGTTTGATTTGGACGGCGATGCGCCAGAGGAGATCGCTACTTACATGGTGAGACTGGGCGATGGGGTTGCACCAAGCTGCTTCAGCCAACTTATTCTCACGTGGCCTTGTTGGCCAAGCTTTCTCATAGCTGTGGAACGGGACATGAATCAAAACATTAATGTTTTCCTCTTTGTCTTGATGTGGCCTTGTAGGTGGAGAATGAATTCATATTGCCGAGTGAAAAAGAGACCTTTATTGAACAAATGAAAGATATTATTGATAAAGCAGAAGATATGCTTAGTGAAGATACGGAAGGAGAGCGAAGTTCTGATCAGGGAACGAGTCCCCAACAAGATACCGATAGACTGGAAATGAACGAGGTGAGAAGTATTAAATAAAAATTTCTAGTTTGATTCCTTTTTCTTAACGGCCAGTTACTGTAAATTAGTTTTACATCTCACGTTAGCAAAACCAAAACCTTTCTCAGCTAGAAAAATAATGCTTTTACTCCATTAAGGCTTACGATGAGTGCTTCTTGGAACAATGCTCCTCTGGCATCGATACAAGACAGCCAGTTCTTCTATTGTTTTTGTTTTTTTTTAACAGGAGAAGCGTCAGTCGCAGATGAAGACACCCGTGTACCAGCAAAATGGTAAACGTGCCTTTTGAATACAGACTTAAGATATGAGGCAGTGATGAGCTTATGCAGAAGTTTGTTAGATTTGGGAAGAAATCCACCAGTTTCCACCGTGGTGACTGGAAACGTATCTACTCGGGGAAGAGTGGCTGGAGAGCTGCCTGGCGGAGAAGGACCTGGGGGTGTTGGTTGACTACCGGCTTGATATGAGCCAGCAGTGTGCCCAGGTGGCCAAAAAGGCCAATGGGATACTGGCGTGTATCAAGAATAGTGTGACCAGCAGGAGCAGGGCAGTGATCCTGCCCCTGTACTCGGCACTGGTGAGGCCGCACCTGGAATATTGTGTCCAGTTTTGGGCCCCTCGCTTTAAGAGAGATATTGAGCTCCTGGAGCGAGTCCAGAGAAGGGCGACTAAACTGGTCAAGGGGCTGGAAAATAAAACTTATGGGGAGCGGCTGAGGGAGTTGGGGCTGTTTAGCCTGGAGAAGAGGAGGCTGAGGGGAGACCTGATTGCAGCCTACAAATACTTGAGAAGGGATGGTGGGGAGGTGGGGGAAGGGCTCTTTACATTAGTGATGGGTGATAGAACAAGAGGAAATGGGTGTAAGCTTAGTCAGGGGAGATTCAGGTTGGATGTTAGGAAGTATTTCTTCTCTGAAAGGGTTGTCAGCCACTGGAATAGGCTGCCCAGGGAGGTGGTTGAGTCCCCATCCCTGGATGTGTTTAAGAATAGGGTGGATGATCTACTTAGGGATATGGTTTAATGGGGACTAGGGACGGTTGGACTCGATGATCTCTAAGGTCTTTTCCAACCTAGAAATCTATGAAATCTATGATGGGTATAACGATGGTCCCTGCTGTTGGTAAGCTGGGAGATCGCGGGGCCAACCTGGATCAATCTGCCACCCGGGGGTGTTTAGGGAAGCCCTGAATTATATTAGGAAAAAATTTTTTACCATGAGAGTGGTAGAACACTGGAACAGGTTGCCCAGAGAGGTGGTGGATGCTCCATCCCTGGAGACGTTCAAGGCCAGGTTGGACAAGGCCCTGAGCAACCTGATCTAGTTGGAGATATCCCTGTTCCTTGCAGGGGGGTTGGACTAGATGACCTTTGAAGGTCCCTTCCAGCCCTAACCATTCTATGATTCTATGATTCTATGAATTACCCAAGCTGATGGTCAGCAGTGGGGCAGTAAAGAAGGTACGGGCAAACATGGTCTTCTCACAACAATAACTGCGTTTGCCACGGAAAGTGAAAAGATTATGTTTGCGTTGGTGATTTGATTGACTTTTCTAACTCGTACGTTTTCAGCTGCTTTGGGATGGCAGGGGGGATCTCAGCCTTCTGAACGCAGTCGTGTCCGATGGGTTTTACAGACAAACGGAATTGGGGGGGAATTGGCCCTTTGTGCTCTCTGTAACCATATGCTGGAGGGGGAAAATGAAACCTCTGCTGAAGGAAGCGTTGCTTCCAAAATCCTTGTTACTGCGTGTGGCGGTGTGTTTGCTCCGTGCTTACGGGGAAGAAGAAGGATCTAGAACTTCTTTGACAGGTGCAAGAGCTGAGTAATCCTCCCAACTAGACTTTCTGCTCAAAAGATCTGCTTTATTTTTTGCCTGTAAATGTCTTATAATTTTATCAGTGCACTTTTTAACATGACATTTGTATTTCAACTGATGAAAGTTACAAAGTGTGCATAGTTCTGGTTTTCCATTTTATGTATGTCAGGCTTTGAGATAAGATGTGGAAGCAAATAGTAGCTAGGAAACTTCCAACGTGGAAAAGTTAAGCTGGATAAACTTTACAAAATGAACTATTTTTCCATTGTGAGAAAACTGTCCGTAGTACCATTAATAGAAGTTTCACGTACATAACTATTACCCTTCTAAAAGTATGACCACTTGAAAATAAATTTTCAAATAATTTAAAATATGTGGCAGAATCGGGGGACATCGCTGCCTCCCTTCCAGAAGGGATGAGAATCAAATTAGGAGCCATTGATTTAATCTTGCCTAATACTGTACAAGTTCTGATTTTCTTTCTAAACGTGGAAATTAGGACTGGGTTTTGAAAGGTGATCTGGAATGATTGGGAACTTTTGTGTTTACTTTTTGTTTTCTTTTCGTCTCCAGTTTTGCATACTGGAAAAAGGTGGTTTATTATATGTCCTGTTGTGGAAAACCCTGCTACTGACGCACCTGAATTTTCTCCACCGGTACCTCAGAGCACTCAGCAGTTTGAAGGGCCAGGTATTTGCAGACTTTATAGAAAACATTTTCTTCTCTGAGGTTGCAGTGTCATCTCTCTTCTGTTCTCACCTGACTCAGTTACGATTGTTTCGGTTCGTTTAGTCGGAGGAGGAAAACGATGATTTTTGCATTTTAAGCGTATTTCTGGTATTGAACCGAATTAGCAATGTTTATTGGAGTTTCAGGGGTGGATCGGGATTTTAACTCTGCCTCACGCTCTGAGGCAGCTGAAGTTCTCCTCGCTGCTGTTCTAATAAGCAGTGTCTTTCCGGGGAAATATTTTTGCAGAATCTACAATTCTAGGTTCTAATTTGCCTCGTGTAGCACAGTTATTTCCCGCCGGGAAGCGCCGCTGGGTTATGGCTGGGTGTGGTTATCGCTGCCGCTAACCGGGACGCCGCGCGGTGACTTTTCTTTCCTGCAGTGGGTAACCTGAGGGCTGCGTTTTTTTTCCAGACCCGGAGCAGCCGGACGATCAGCAAGCGAGCTCGGCGGTGGCGGAGGCGCCC